TATAATGGGCCATGTTTGGATCTTCCAACCGGACAATAATCCAAAAACAAACCTCAAAAACGGGTCACTGAGCACAAAACCAAGCTTCTGCTATGGCCATTCCAGTTCCCTGACCTGAACCCTATAGAAAATGAGTGTGGTGAACTGAAGAAAAGAAGCACCAACATGGAGCTGGGAATCTGGAGTGATTCTGGATGAAGGAATGGTCTCTGATCTCTTGTCAAGTGTTGGCTGCCTTTTCAGGGTGCCACGAGAACCCCTAGAACGGTATGCAAGTGTAGTGCACGTTATGCTTTGCCCACTTTTCTAAAATCCACATAAGTGGTAAGTGTGCACGTTATGCTTTGCCCACTTTTCTAAAATCCACATAAGTGGTAAGTGTGCACGTTATGCTTTGCCCACTTTTCTAAAATCCACATAAGTGGTAAGTGTGCACGTTATGCTTTGCCCACTTTTCTAAAATCCACATAGCTGGTAAGTGCGCACGTTATGCTTTGCCCACTTTTCTAAAAATCCTGTATGGTAAGAGCTACGCGCAAGACTTCGTGCTCTTTTTGAGTGGTTTAAAACCCCGGTTCTGCCTTGGGCACCACTCCCCCTATGTATCCTCTGGATACCTACTTAACAGGGTATTGCTACTAAGGATCTGTTGAGACAGTTCCTTCACCACAAGACAAACGTGCGGTAGCCCCTGTGTGACAGACCAAGACTAGTATGATTCTAGGCTCTTGGTCGTATTCCCTTAAAGGAATCTGTTTCTGATTCCAAGCCTTGAGCTCTACCCCGTGCCCAGGAGTCTGGCCCTAACAGGTAAGTATTTTGGGGTATGTAGCCTAGGCCTTTGGCCGTAGGGAATAACGTCACTGACAGCCGTCTAAACGTCCCAGGGGCAACTCCCATAGCAATATGGTAGAGTTGGTTCTTAGTGCTCGCCATGGTTCTGGCTTGCACTCCCCTCAGCATGGTGGCGTGGGTATACCATTCCCCATAGCGATCCCTAGAGGACGCAGTTCGAAGTTCCCATGAAAGGGAACGTCTCGGGTTACTTATGTAACCATGGTTCCCTGAGTAGGGAACGAGACACTGCGTCCTCTAGGTTTCTTGCCATGCTGCGGACGCAAGCTTCAGACGAAGAAGTGAACGATGTGTAGCTCCCGGCACCGATTTATACTGTAGTCGCACCGGTAGTGACGTCATGGCTGGCGCCGGGCAACGAGTTGGTGGTTTTTTCACGTAAACGTATGCTTCAGATACGAGTCACGACGAGGCGTTCCCCATAGCGACCCCTAGAGGACGCAGTGTCTCGTTCCCTACTCAGGGAACCATGGTTACATAAGTAACCCGAGACGTTTTTTAGCAGCAAACACTCAAGATGGGTTTGGTGCACACGGATAAAAAGTACCCCATGTGTACAATTAAATATTCTGCTGTATTTTTAATGTTGTGGGCCTAGATTTCTGCTGGAGGTCCTGGACATCTTGTTTAGATACATGGCATCTTTGATTCTATCAAATACCAACAGATAAAAAAAAAATCAATAAGTGACTGACTCAGTTAGAAATCTTATAATGGGCCATGTTTGGATCTTCCAACCGGACAATAATCCAAAAACAAACCTCAAAAACGGGTCACTGAGCACAAAACCAAGCTTCTGCTATGGCCATTCCAGTTCCCTGACCTGAACCCTATAGAAAATGAGTGTGGTGAACTGAAGAAAAGAAGCACCAACATGGAGCTGGGAATCTGGAGTGATTCTGGATGAAGGAATGGTCTCTGATCTCTTGTCAAGTGTTCTCTAACCTCATCAGGCATTATAGTAGAACATTTAGAGCTGTTAAACTGGCAAATGGAGGTTGGTGGTTAAGGGTGCCGTAAATTGTGGCCAATGTGTATTAGAGAAAAACATTTATTTCATGTTCGAAGTTCCCATGAAAGGGAACGTCTCGGGTTACTTATGTAACCATGGTTCCCTGAGTAGGGAACGAGACACTGCGTCCTCTAGGTTTCTTGCCATGCTGCGGACGCAAGCTTCAGACGAAGAAGTGAACGATGTGTAGCTCCCGGCACCGATTTATACTGTAGTCGCACCGGTAGTGACGTCATGGCTGTCGCCGGCCAACGAGTTGGTGTTTTTTCAACGTATGCTTCAGATACGAGTCACGACGAGGCGTTCCCCATAGCGACCCCTAGAGGACGCAGTGTCTCGTTCCCTACTCAGGGAACCATGGTTACATAAGTAACCCGAGACGTTTTTTAGCAGCAAACACTCAAGATGGGTTTGGTGCACACGGATAAAAAGTACCCCATGTGTACAATTAAATATACTGCTGTATTTTTAATGTTGTGGGCCTAGATTTCTGCTGGAGGTCCTGGACATCTTGTTTAGATACATGGCATCTTTGATTCTATCAAATACCAACAGATAAAAAAAAAATCAATAAGTGACTGACTCAGTTAGAAATCTTATAATGGGCCATGTTTGGATCTTCCAACCGGACAATAATCCAAAAACAAACCTCAAAAACGGGTCACTGAGCACAAAACCAAGCTTCTGCTATGGCCATTCCAGTTCCCTGACCTGAACCCTATAGAAAATGAGTGTGGTGAACTGAAGAAAAGAAGCACCAACATGGAGCTGGGAATCTGGAGTGATTCTGGATGAAGGAATGGTCTCTGATCTCTTGTCAAGTGTTCTCTAACCTCATCAGGCATTATAGTAGAACATTTAGAGCTGTTAAACTGGCAAATGGAGGTTGGTGGTTAAGGGTGCCGTAAATTGTGGCCAATGTGTATTAGAGAAAAACATTTATTTCATAATGATATTTCCCCCCATTTTAAATTCTTATCCAATGAAAGGTTAAATTTTTGTGAATTTTTTTAAATATAAAGATCAATAGGATTAACAATGCAGATTAATTTTCACAGCCTTCTTGGATCATATTTACCAAGGGTGCCGATATTTTTGGCCATGACTGTACATCCACTTACATTCCCTTATATTTTAACTTAAGATCCTGATTAAAAAAACAAAAAACTACCCATTAAATCACAAACTGCCTATGCTGTCTTCAATATCACAGTTTGTAGCATGAAAATGGATCATACACAAAAATGTTTTCTTTAAATGTAGTTCTCTGTGCTTTAGAGACACTGGCTCTCATTTTTAGTTCCTTATGACATAATTCCCATCATCCTCTTCAGTGAATGCTGAAGTACCTAGGAAGCGTATGATACGTCTGAGCAGAGGGTTGAAGTAACAGCAGTCGGCTGTGACTATGGTCTTCTCCTGCGTGCCCTCCGACCTCATGAAAAACACCATCACCTCGCCAGCCAGAATCTGAGGAGGAGAAAAACACAAATGAAACAAACAGTAGCTGCCAAAACATCCACCACGCCATTTGTTTTGGCATTATTGAAGCTCCATTTGGTTGAAATTCGAGTGCACCTACTCTTGCTAAGCAGGCGTTTCCAGAATCATGAGTAGCTAATAGTCCCTCATTTTCACCGTTCTCAAATGCCAGCACCAGAACCTCATTATTTCTGATCTCCCTGGTTACGGTTATGATGAGTAACCACTCATCAAAGTGACTAATTCTGCTTTGCAATGTAAGAGGTGTGTGCACACATCACTTCTATATGCGTTTAAATAATCATACTGCATGCACATGTCTCCTTTGCATTGAAAATGCTAATATAGTAGTATTTTACCTGTCGTATATGGTAGAAGCTGAAAACCATGAACAAAACTATGCAAGATAAAAGAAAATACAACTTAGATTACATTAAATACATGTTCACTTGCAATAAACATGGTTTGTGTTTTGTGCAAAGCATTCATGGCTTAGAGCATGAAACCATAAAAAATAAAATTTTTGTATAATAATTTGGGAAGTCCAGTATACTGGAGACCATATTTGTACTGAAAATAAAATAAAATAAAAATGAATAAAATACACAAACTACAAAGAATGTAAAACAAAAAAGTGAGTAGCACTGAAAATCATGTTAAAAAACACATAAGTGATAAAAAAAAAAAAGAAGATTATTTAAATTATGAAGAATGTAAAATGATAGTGAGTAACAAAGTTATGCTAGAAAAAATAAAATTGCATGGGATGTGATGCCTGAGAAAAACAAAACAAAAAAATATAAAATGAAATAAAAATGCATGGGACAGGAAACATGAAAATTAAAATACAATACGCTGAAATAATGAAGACAGTTCTGTATAACTACAAAGTGAGTAACTAAAACTAATAATTTCATGTTGTTGAGATATGACAGTAACAAAGTCATGTTAAAGGGGTCATATGATGTTGCTAAAAAGAACATTATTTTGTGTATTTGGTGTAATGAAATGTGTTTATGCGGTTTAAGGTAAAAAAAAACACATTATTTTCCACATACTGTACATTGTTTCTCCTCTATGCCCTGTCTTTCTGAAACGTGTAGATTTTTACAAAGCTCATCGTTCTGAAAAGCGAGGTGTGCTGTGATTGGCCAGCTATCCAGTGTGTTATGATTGGCCGAATACGTCAAGCATGTGACGGAAATGTTACATCCCTTACCATACTGTGATGCCCTGTCAGGCCGGAGAACACGAAAACCCATTATAAACGAGGCATTCGTTGCATCCAGTGGGGACATAATTATAGATTATAATGACTTATACTGTCTTTTTCACATTGCATCGCGCCGCGTAAACATAAAACCATGTCTGCATTTGTGATCGGAGAAATGACAAACAACAAGCCCTGCTCTACACTGCCCAAAAAACTTGCTTTAAATATAAAAAAATAAAAACTCTTTAAATACAAAAAACGTACTTACAATCTGTGAGTCAGAACAGCCGGCATTGTAGTCTACTCTCCCAGGATCAGTAAACAATCCTCCATAAAATGTGCTGCACACATCTGAATATTTGGGTTGAAGTGTTCTGGAACAGTGCTGTAAATACAACTTAACTTATTTCTAGTCATGTCCATTTTTGGAAAGTCAAACAAAGTAGTTTTGCTTTCACAATGAAACACAGCGTCACACACGGTGGCCTAGAGTGAGCGCCGGCGGCCTAGAGTGAGGAACGGCCAGAGGGCTAGAGTGAGCAGAGGCGGGGGGCTTGAGAACGGCGCGGCCGGCGGATTTGACGAAGGAGGCTTGCGGCAACCACATGTGACGACCCCGGGCTGGACTCCGCTTCGTCCACGGTGAAAGCCGATCCGGCGATCCACAGCGCGGAGTTGATGTATTTCCTCAGCGACCAGCACAGATCAGCTCTAGGCATGACGAAGCCATATCGTCCTCTTTCGGAAGACCAAACAAAGTAGTTTCGCTTTCACAACGAAACACACAGCGCCTTCACGACATGGCGGCCGCAACAATACTACAGCGAGAATAAAAGTTACACCTTCTTTCTTTGCGTGAACATTTGGGCGGCGTTATGCAAATCTTCCCAGATAGTGACGTAGATATGTGGGGGCGTGTACGAGCCGTTTTAGGTAGGCGTGGTTGACTCTTAACTTTTATAAAGAATATCTCTTTGGATTTGAGACTTTGAGAATTCCTTGTTTTATTGTTGTGATTACGGTTTTTATTTTATTTTATGTAAAGCACTTTGAATTACCATTGTGTATGAAATGTGCTATACAAATAAACTTGCCTTGCCTAGTCTTTGTAACTTTACAGATCTTCTTTATGCACCAAGAGCTTGTAACACTCCAAAGAGAAAGGAAAAATTTTAATCGCATCATATGACCCCTTTAAAACATTGCAGGGGATGTCTGGACTGAAAAAAAAAAAAATAATAATAAAGACAATGTTTAACTAAAAAAAACGATTAACTAAAAGTCAAGGAAAAAATTTTATCAAAATAATCAAAATCATGTTATCATAATTTCAGTTTACTTGAATATGATAAACAATTTAAGTACTCTGTTGGGCCACCACTTGATGATCAATATAAAAGCAAAACAAAAAGTGAGAACCCCTGATCTAAACATCTGAGCTATAATGCTGTACAAGTGCTTCCCTGGCAGTGATAGAAGAAGCGGAGACCATAAACACGACATCAAATCCATTACCTTCAACTCAAAGAGACAGAGAGACGTCAGAGATGAGACAGTGAGGGACAGGGACACGGCGTTCACCTCACACATCTCCCAGTTTAGCACCTGACCGCTGACACAGACTGACATTAGTCTCACACACACACAGAGCAAATGATCAACACACACTCAGTTCATATGAGCAACAATACTACAGCGAGAATAAAAGTTACACCTTCTTTCTTTGCGTGAACATTTGGGCGGCATTATGCAAATCTTCCCAGATAGTGACATAGATATGTGGGGGCGTGTACGAGCCGTTTTAGGTAGGCATGGTTGACTCTTAACTTTTATAAAGAATATCTCTTTGGATTTGAGACTTTTTGAGAATTCCTTGTTTTATTGTTGTGATTACTGTTTTTATTTTATTTTATGTAAAGCACTTTGAATTACCATCGTGTATGAAATGTGCTATACAAATAAACTTGCCTTGCCTAGTCTTTGTAACTTTACAGATCTTCTTTATGCACCAAGAGCTTGTAACACTCCAAAGAGAAAGGAAAAATTTTAATCGCATCATATGACCCCTTTAAAACATTGCAGGGGATGTCTGGACTGAAAAAAAAAATAATAATAATAAAGACAATGTTTAACTAAAAAAAACGATTAACTAAAAGTCAAGGAAAAAATTATCAAAATAATCAAAATCATGTTATCATAATTTCAGTTTACTTGAATATGATAAACAATTTAAGTACTCTGTTGGGCCACCACTTGATGATCAATATAAAAGCAAAACAAAAAGTGAGAACCCCTGATCTAAACATCTGAGCTATAATGCTGTACAAGTGCTTCCCTGGCAGTGATAGAAGAAGCAGAGACCATAAACACGACATCAAATCCATTACCTTCAACTCAAAGAGACAGAGAGACGTCAGAGATGAGACAGTGAGGGACAGGGACACGGCGTTCACCTCACACATCTCCCAGTTTAGCACCTGACCGCTGACACAGACTGACATTAGTCTCACACACACACAGAGCAAATGATCAACACACACTCAGTTCATATGACTCACACACCCAGAGGGTTTAGAGCAGTGATGGCAAACTTGGCCCTTCCAGGCCACTTTCCTGCAGAGATTCGACCCAACCCTGATATGACTCACCTGCCTGTAGCCTTCTAGTATAGTCTTGAAGACAATGATTAGCTGGTTCAGGTGTGTTTGATTAGGGTTGGAGCTAACCTCTGAAGGAAAGTGGCCTGGAAAAGCCAAGTTTGCCCACCCCTGGTTTAGAGGGTTCGCAATGATATAGTGAGGGTGACTGCATTTTCATTTTTGGGTGGATTACTGTTTTAAAAGCTAGCTGTGATTCTGTTGTGAATTGAGGATGTGTGTCTAATACTGTGTGTGTGTGTGTGTGTGTTGATGAGACTGTGAACATCAGTTCAAGTGCGAATAATGTGCCATTAGATGAGATAAAGCTGCACTTCTAGATCCTTTATATCAGCTGTCATGGGTGATTAGGCTTGTGGCTCATATGCTTCTCATATTAATAAATAATATAAAGCAGATCTCAACACCACAACGACTCCCAGGTGAGATCAGGAAAGGGTCAGAGGCAGGATATCCTTCCCAACAATTTGATACAACAGTAAATAATGTATATAAAATTCAATCCAATTTAAAATGATATCTCAATATATGTTTTTAGATTTAACATTAATATTAATATCGATATTTGAAGTCAACATACATTTAAAATTACCCCATTTACTTTTTTACTGCAAGTTGCGTTTTTCTCTTACTGAATAACCTATTGACAAAAAAAGCAATAATACATAATATTACAGTACTAAAATTAGTTGCGAATGCAAAAATAAGATATCTGGATATTTATGTAGGTAAATGTTTGCACGACACTAATATATAAACTACTTTATAAAGGTATGGGTGGGTAAGATTTTTTTTTTATGTTTTAGAAGTCTCTCATGCTCACCAAGGCTGAATTTATGTGAACGAAAATGTACAGTAAAAACAGTAATATTGTGAAATATTTTTACAATTTAAAATAACTGTTTTCTATTTGAATATATTTTAAAACATAATTTATTCCTGTGATCAAAGCTGAATTTTCAGCATCATTACTCCAGTCATTGTCACATGATTTTTCAGAAATCGTTCTAATATGATGATTTGCTACTCAATAAACATTTTATTATTATTATCAATGTTGAAAACATATGCGCTTCTTAATATTTTCATGAAAGCTTTCTTTTTTCAGGATTCTTTGA